ATCCCAGGGTCCTGGGATCGAGCCCCACATCGGGCTCCCTGCTCCGCGGGGACCCTGCTTCTCCCACTCCCTCTGCCTCTCCCCTGCTTGTGTTCCTTCTCTCGCTTTGTCTCTGTCAAATAAATAAAAATCTTTAAAAAAAATAGTCTATTTAAAAAAAATTCAAGGATGAGGGGCGCCTAGGTGGCTCAATCAGTTAAGTGGCTGCCTTCAGCTCAGGTCATGATCTCAGGGTTTCTGGGATTGAGCCCCACATCAACATCATCCATCATCAAACTCCCTGCTCAGAGGGGAGTCGGCTTCTCCCTCTCCCTCTGCCCCTCCCCCCTGCTTGTGCGCTTTCGCTCTCAAATAAAATCTTTAAAAAAATTCAGGGATGAGAAAAAGATGTACCATGAATACAAGAAAAAATGAACATAAGAAAAAATAACTAAGGAATATTCAGATGCTCTGAGAGAAACGAGAGCTTGAACCAAAGAATGAAAGGCAAGAAGGTGTGTGTCCTGAAAACCCAGTTTACACCCGTCATCAGGTGTACACAGGGGTGGTTCCAGGACTGACTGACTCAGTACCATCAGGACTGGCCTGCTGCCTTTGGTGTGGCTAAATCATACCAAACTGAAACTGTTCCCTGGCCATCTGTCCTACTGAGAAGGCTGTGCACCAGTCCTCACTGTTCATTAGGGGGAAAGAACCTGGATGAGAAGGTTCTGCCCTCAGGAAAATGTTTCAAACACTCAGTTTTACATCTGAGCAATTTTTTGGCAAGAGCTGGACTTGGGTACCAGAAAGACAGATGGGGAATCACCCCTGTACTTCATGTTACTTTAACCAGGCAACAGAGATGTAAATAATCATCAGAGAAACCCACTGACCTCAATATCTTCCCAATTAACTTCAATAATCTTTCATTCAGCAAATAACCCAATAGGCACTCAAGACCAAGCTGTGAGCAAGGGAATCTTGGTCTGCCTTCCATAGGAACTTCTCTCTCGCATTCTGCCTTCTGTGGAAGGCGCCTTTCAGACAGTAAGCTCAAGTTCAGGTCCAACTCCCTGTAGCAGACAGTGATGGACTGGGGGAGTGAGGCACGGAGTAGTAAGCTCATCACAAGAAGATCTGAAGGCTGGGAAGTTTTGGGGAGCAGCAACAGAGATGAAAACATAGGAAGGAGAGTAGTGAGAGATGAGGCAGGCTGAAATCAGAGACACCTTGATCCACAACCACATGAAGAAGCCTGTAGTTTAACCACAAACAGGAGGTGGAAAACCACCAGAGGGTTTCAAAAGGAGAATGACTTGTCTGTAGTGAACTTTTTTTTTTAAGATTTCATTTCCAAGTAATCTCTACATCCAACGTGGGGCTCAAACTCACAACCCTAAGATCAAGAGTCTCATGCTCTACCAACTGAGCCAGCCAGGTGCCTCCTGATGTACTTTTTCTGATCTAGAACTAATTTAAATCTTCCCCTAACCCTTTCAAAGTTGGCTTTTAATTTATAGAACCAAAATATTGATGAGAATGTGACTTAAGGTCTAAATAATTTTTAACTAGTAAGACTCCATTGTGCGTAAATTAGACATCAGCAAAATTAAAAACTTTTGTGATTCAAAGGGACATAATTTAAAAAGTGAAAAAGAGGGGCGCCTGGGTGGCTCAGTCGTTGAGCGTCTGCCTTCGGCTCAGGTCATGATCCCAGGGTCCTGGCATCGAGCCCCGCATCAGGCTCCTTGCTCCGCGGGAAGCCTGCTTCTCCCTCTCCCAATCCCCCTGCTTGTGTTCCCTCTCTCGCTGTCTCTCTCTCCGTCAAATAAATAAAATCTTAAAAAAAATAAATAAAAAGTGAAAAAGACAACCTACAATATAGAGAAAAATTTGAAAATCATGTATCTGATAAGAAATCTGTACCTAGAATATATAAAGAACTACTAGCACTCAATTATATAAAGACTTCAATTAAAAAAAAATCACAGTCCAAGCTTGTAAAGGATTATGATAACAAAGTGACCTATAAATAAGAAAACTGTTTCAAGTTCAGACCCAGAATGATAAAACATGCAATGTACAAGAGTAAGAGGATTGAAGAAGAGAAAGAAGGGAAGTGGGAGGAGCTCTGTATAAAAAGCATCGTTGTAAAGCAAAACCCAATTTTTCATTTTTTTAAATTTTATTTTATTATGTTAGTCACCATACATTACATCATTAGTTTTTGATGTAGTGTTCCATGATTCATTGTTTGCGTATAACACCCAGTGCTCCATGCAGTAGGTGCCCTCTTTAATACCCATCACCCGGCTAACCCGTCCCCCCACCCCCTCCCCTCTAAAACCCTCAGTTTGTTTCTCAGAGTCCATAGTCTCTCATGGTTCGTCTCCCCCTCCGATTTCCCCCCCTCCATTTTTCCCTTCTTACTATCTTCTTTTTTTTTTTTTAACATATAATGTATTATTTGTTTCAGAGCCACAGGTCTGTGATTCATCAGTCTTACACAATTCACAGCGCTCACCATAGCACACACCCTCCCCAATGTCCATCACCCAGCCCCCTATCCCTCCCACCCGCCTCCCCTCCAGCAGCCCTCAGTTTGCAAAACCCAATTTTTCTAAATGGGCAAACGAACTGAACAGTTTCCTCAAAGAAGATACAGAAATTGACATCAAGCTCATGAAAAAATGTTCAACGCGGTTAGCCATTAGGAAAAGACAAATGAGAACCACAAGGAGATATCCCTTCACAACCACTAGGGGGTGACTTATAATCGAAAAGACCGATGATGATGACAAGTTTTGGCGAGGATGGGGAGCCATCGGAGCTCTCATCCACTGCAGCGCGATCCTCAAGTAAATGGTGCAGCCCCTTTGGAAAACAGTCGGGCCTGGAGGTGGTCAAATAGTGAAACAGTGTTACCGTGTGACCCAGCAATCCCACTCCCAATAGACGCTCAAGAGAAATGAAAACGGACGAAAAAAAGAGAGAGAGAAATGAAAACCTGTATCCAAATGTGCGCACCCTCCGCAAGGCGTCCAACCAGCGCCCGCCAGCCTCCAGGAGGGACGCTGACCCGCTCCTCTAGCGCCCCCTCTGGTCTTCCGGAAGGGAGGCCGATGTTGTAGAAGGTAGGCTGTGCCCCAGCGGGAACCCTGTACCCTTTTCTGCAGAGACTGTCACTAGCTTTATTTAAAAGTATTAAAGAAGCTGAAGCGCTTAGCGCAGTACCAGGCATCGGGGGATGCGCTAACACTGTTCGCTATTGTTATGTTTCTTATCTCTAATTAATTGAACATGGGCATTGGTAGCAGTGGGTTCTAAGTGGTTTGGGGGAAAAGTAGGGTAAATAAAAGTGCTTTAAGACTGAACTGGGCGCCAAGTTGGCTTACTCTTCTGAATCAAATGATTACTAACATTAATGTATTGCTTATATATGCCAGGGACTATGCTGAGTGCTTTATATGTGCATCATCACCTGAAATTCTCTCAACCACCCTGGAACCTGGGAAACTCAGTGAATTAGTCCTTTGGAAGTATTAAATAATAAAACCAGTAGTAATATAAAGACTGGACTGGAAGCCCTTACAATAATCTGAGTAGGCAGAGTGAGTAATAGAAGAGGACAAAATTCGGAGAATAGTAAAATCAATCCCACGTTTATAAATCTTGATTTTCACTGCATTACATTGCTTCTTTCTGGAAAATAGGAGGCTGGAAGAGCAGTAAATGATCGATCCTGATATGAGATGACTTATTTTTTTTATTAAAATAAAATTTGTAAGAATGAAAAAATACTTGCCTTGAACAAGATGGAATAAGAATGGCAAAGCAAACAAACAAAACCATAAAGAAACCCACAGTATCCTTGACACATCAGACCCTATGTTTTGTTTTTGTTTCTGTTTTAAAGATTTTATTAATTTGAGAGAGAGAGCACAAAAGAGAGCACAAGCAGAGGGGTAGGGGTAGAGGGATCAGGAGAAGCTCCCCACCAAGCAGGGAGCCTGACCTGGGACTCAATCCCAGGACCTGGAATCATGACCTGAGCCGAAGGCAGGCGCTTAACCGACTGAGCCACGCAGGCGCCCCACATCGGCCCCTATGTTGTGGACTCTGGACTTGGCACTTTATGTGCATCTTCTGATTTTATCCCTCCCACAAAATCTGGATTGGCCTGTGCAGCCAGCCATCAGCTGCTCCTGCCCCCTCAGCACACCGTATACGTCCGTGTTTCCAAAACCCAATCTCCTCCCCATAGTCATGGGTTCCCCAAACATGCTCCATACCTATGATTTCAATGAGTGGCAAAATCTTATTTTTGCCATTAACAAAAAAAGAGAAGAAAAATCTTTCTGGCATTTTGTTGAGGGAGTTGGGATGAGGGCAGCTTTGAATTCCTAACACCAATCTCTGCTATTTTTTGCACATCCTGGGGATAAGGTGAACTTCACCTGGATCTAAGAAACAAAGCAGCAAATCAAGGGTGTGTTTCCCCTTGCTCTTAGGAAAGAAAGAGCTCAGTTCATTCTGGGCCTGGCTCCAGGACTTCTCCGGCTCAGCCCAAGCCCCCCACCTTCTCACCCAGGCATCAGCACCTCCTTACCCTCAGGAGTTGACACAATCCAGCTCCTGTAGGGGTTGGGAGTCTCCCCTCCAAGCAGCAGGAAACGAGGCATGGGGGTGGGGAGGCCAGCTCCAGGCCCCGGGGCGGAGGGAGGGGGTGGAAATGCTCACACTGAGAGTCTGAGTGATCTGCAGGGGGCGTTTGGCTCTACACTCAGCCCTTTTTCCTGACAGCCTTAAGCTGAAAAGAAAACTACAGTTCAACAAATTCACTTTCGGTTTCCAAAAGACGTGAGCAGGAAAGAATCGGAAGGAACAGGCTTGTGGGACTGAGGAGGGATAGTATATGCTTCCCAGCCCTTCCGCCTCTGGAGAAAGGCTAGTCCCCCTTGCAGGGCAAGGCAGAAGCCGGGAGAATTTATCCCGAGGGGCCGCCTGGGCTGGTAGAGATGGCACTCTTTCAGGCCCTGTATGACACCCCTGCAGACAAGCTGTCTGCCTTCGTGGAGCAGAAACTTCAGCCCGACGGGGACTGGAAGGAGGAAGTGAAGGATGCCTGGCAGAGTATTGAGCATTTCTTCCGGGAACAGTGCTTCCGAGATGAGCTGGTTCTAGACCAGGAAGTCAGGGTGCTGAAGGTGGTGAAGGTGAGCACCTGGGGACTTAAGATTGAGTTTGAATCCTAACCTGTTACTTGGGGACCATGTGACCTTGGGGGAGAGTTCATTTCATCTCTGGACTCCCCCTCTTCAATCCAGATCTGTTGTAAGGAATAGATGAGATAAACTGTGGGAAAGTGCTTTTAAACTGTAAATTATCCTACAAATCTGAAGGAGGAGGAGGATGATTATTGGGGATCCAGCTGATTGCCCGGGTGACAGGTGGAATGTGAATAACAGGTCTCTTATAAAATGTATGTGTTTGTTTCTTGTTTAAGAAGACCGGTAGGGGCGCCTGGGTGGCTCAGTTGGTTAAGTATGGGACTCTTGGTTTCCGCTCAGGTCATGATCTCAGGGTCAGGAGATGGGGAGATAGAGCCGCACTGAGGCTCTACTCTCAGCATGGAGTCCTCCCTCTCCCTACCTCTCTGCCCCTCCCTCCGATCGTGCTCTCTCTCGTGCTCTCTCGCTCTTGCTTTAAAGGCTCCTGTTGGGGACTGTAATTGATGTTTCTTCAGGTTTACAATTCTTTTGGGGCCTGTAATTGACAATTCCTATAATTGGAGTTGGTACCACTACCCCTACCGGCCTCCCCCTCTGGCCTCAGACTCCTTTTTGTGAGGCTTCCGTTAATTTTCATATATCTAATTTCTTAAGTAAATCAAGCTTTACCTGGGGGTGGTATTGTTAGGAGCTAATTGGACACTTAGGTGTCAGGGCCACGGTCCCCAACAGGAAAACAGGGAGCCAGGAAAGCTAGAACAAAACCGCGCTGGCATCCTGTTTTACAGTTTAGACAAGACCACAATAGCATCCTGTCTAGCAGCCTCTGTAGGAGTGACTCTTACAAAATATCCTGAAACAAAACAATTAACCACAAAACATTGGTCAATATCACAAGTTGAGACAGTTGGTCTCCAACATGGTAACAATAACCTGATAGGTAGACCGGTGCATGATCAAAGCCCTGATTGGCACACCTTAGTAGCCAATCCACAGGGGGCCCACACTCAGGATGCTCGAGATAGTTCTGCAAAAGAGTTTATTTAAAAAAAAAACAACCCTGGATTGGAACAACAAAACGGCAAAGCTCTCGGTTCCCCTCCCTCACCAGGAGCTTTATTCTCCCCCAGAAGATCAGCAAGAACATCTGGCCAAGACCAAGCTTACCAAGTTTACTGTTCAAAGAGAACTGCAAAACTCCAGCACTAGCGGAATACAGCACATAGATTTCCTGGCTTTTCCCCAGTGATTCTTTAGTCTTTCAACTTTAATTTTTTTTCTCTTTCCCTTTTCAACCAATTTCTTATTTTACCAACTCTTTTTAAAATCTTTTTTAATTTTTGTTTTTATAGTTACATTGTATCTCTTCATTGTTTTTAATTTTATTTTTGTGTATATATATATATCAAGTTTTTCTTTCTTTACAATTTAGGGATGCAGTTTCTTCTAACAGACCAAAATACACCCAGAATCTAGGGTAGGGTTCTGTTCTCTTCACCTGTCTGATCATATTCTCTCTCTCTCTTTTTTTTTTTTTCTAGTTTCAGGACTCCTCTAATTTGTTTAGTGTATATTTCTCTGGGGTTGTTGTTGCCATTTTAGTATTTGGTTCTCTTGTTCATCTCTTCTTCTCTGGTCAGAATGACAAGATGGAAAAACTCATCTCAAAAAAGAGAACAAGAAGCAGTACTGACTGCTAGGGACTGAATCAGTATGGACAAAAGATGTTGGAACTAGAATTCAGAATAATGATTATAAAGATACTAGTTGGGCTTGAAAAAAGCATAGAAGACATCACAGAATACCTTTCTGGAGAAATAAGAGAACTAAAATTTAATCAAGTCAAAATAAAAAAGCCTGTTAATGAGGTGCAATCAAAAGTGGAGGCTCTCACTGCTAGAATAAATGAGGCAGAAGAGAGAATTAGTGATACAGAAGACCAAATAATGGAGAATAAAGAAGTTGAAAAAAAGAGAGATAAACTACTGGATCATGAGGGGAGATTTCGAGAGATAAGAGACACCATAAAGTGAAACAATGTTAGAATAATTCGGATCCCAGAAGAAGAAAAAAGAGAGAGGGGGGCAGAAGGTGTATTGGAGCAGATTATATCAGAGAACTTCCCTAATCTGGAGAAGGAAACAGGCATCCATGTCCAGGAGGCACAGAGAAACCCCCTCAAAATCAATAAAAATATGTCAACACCCTGACATATAATAGGGAAACTTGCAAATCTCAGAGACAAAGAGAAAATCCTGAAAGCAGCTCAGGACAAGAGGTCCATAACCTACAGGGGTAAAAACATTAGAGACCTGGCAGGCCAGAAAGGACTGGCATGATATATTCAGGGTGCTAAATGAGAAAAATATGCACCCAAGAATACTTTTTCCAGCTAGGCTGTCATTCAGAATGGAAGGAGAGATAAAAAGCTTCCAGGACAAACAGAAACTGAAAGAATTTGTGATCACCAAATCAGCCCTCCAAGAAATCTTAAAAGGGATCCTTTAAGTGAAGAGAGAGCCCAAAAGTAGCATAGACCAGAAAGGAACAGACAATATACAGAAACAGTGACTTTACAGGTAATACAATGGCACTAAATTCTTGTCTTTCAGTAGTTACTCTGAATGTAAATGAGCTAAATGTCCCAATCAAAAAACACAGGGTATCAGATTGGATAAAAAAAGTAAGACCCATCGATATGCTGTCTGCAAGAGATTCATTTTGTGTTTTTTTTTTTAAGGTTTTATTTATTTATTTGATGGAGAGAGAGAGAGGACAAGCAGGGGACAAGAGAGGACAATGGCAGGCAGAGGGAGAGGGAGAAGCAGGCTCCCCACAGAGCAGGGAGCCCAACATGGGGCTCGATCCCAGGACCCTGGGATCAAGACCTGAGCCGAAGGCAGACGCTTAACCAACTGAGCCACCCAGGTGCCCCAAGAGACTCATTTTAGACCCAAAGACACCTCCAGATTTAAAATGAGGAGATGGAAAACCATTTATCATACTAATGGACATCAAAAGAAAGCTGGGGTGGCAATCCTTATATCAAACAAGTTAGATTTTAAACCAAAGACTGTAATAAGAGATGAGGAAGGCTCTATAACATAATTAAAGGGTCTATCCAACAAGAAGATCTAACAATTGTAAATATTTCTGCCCTTAACCTGGGAAAAGCCAAGTGTGTAAACCAATTAACAAAATTAAAGAAATGCATTGATAATACAATAATAGTAGGGGACTTTAACACCCCACTCACTGCAATGGACAGATCATCTAAGCAGAAGATCAACAAGGAAACAAGGGCTTTGAATGACACACTGGACCAGATGAACTTCACAGACATATTCAGAACATTCTATCCTAAAGCAACAGAATACACATTCTTCTCAAGTGTACATGGAACATTCTCCAAAGTAGATCACATACTGGGTCACAAATCAGGTCTCAACTGGTACCAAACGATTGGGATCATTCCCTGCATATTTTTGACCAAAATGCTTTGAAACTGGAACTCAATCACAAGAAGAAATTTGGAAAGAACTCAAATACATGGAGGCTAAGGAGCATCCTACAAAGAATGAATGGGTCAACCAGGAAATTAAAGAATTTAAAAAATTCATGGAAACAAATGAAAATGAAAACACACCTGTTCAAAACCTTTGGGATGCAGCAAAGGCAGTCCTGAGGAAAGTATATAGCAATACAAGCCTTTCTCAAGAAACAAGAAAGTTCTCAAATACACAACCTAACCTTACACCTAAAGGAGCTAGAGAAAGAACAGCAAATAAAGCCTGAACCTAGCAGGAGAAGAGAAATAATAAAGACCAGAGCAGAAATCAATGAAATAGAAACCAAAAGAACAGTAGAACAGATCAACGAAACTAGGAGCTGATTCTTTGAAAGGATTAATAAGATTGATAAACCCCTAGACAGACTTATCAAAAAGAAAAGAGAAAGGACCCAGATAAATAAAATCATGAACAAAAGAGATCACAACCAATACTGAAGAAATACAAACAATTATAAGAACATCCTATGAGCAACTATATGCCAACGAATTAGGGAATCTGGAAGAAATGGATGCATTCCTAGAGACATATAAACTACCAAAACTGAAACAGGAAGAAATAGAAAACCTGAACAGATAAAGGGCTAGTATCCAAGATCTATAAAGAACCTATCAAACTCAACACCCAAAGAACAATAATCCAATCAAGAAATGGGCAGAAGTCATGAATAGACATTTCTCCAAAGAAGACATACAAATGGCCAACAGACACATGAAAAAATGCTCACCATCACTCAGCATCAGGGAGATACAAGGCTAGATACCACCTCACACCAGTCAGAATGGCTAAAATTAACCACTCAGGAAATGACAGATGTTGGCGGGGATGCGGAGAAAGGGGAACCCTCCTACACTGTTGGTGGGAGTGCAAGCTGGTGCAGCCACTCTGGAAAACAGTATGGAGGTTCCTCAAAAGGTTGAAAATAGAGCTACCCTACAACCCAGCAATTGCACTACTGGGTATTTACCCCAAAGATACAAATGTAGTGATCCGAAGGGGCACCTGCACCCCAATGTTTATAGCAGCAATGTCCACAATAGCCAAACTATGGAAAGAGCCCTGATGTCCATCAACAGATGAATGGATAAAGAAGATGTGGTGTATGTATATACAATGGCATACTACTCAGCCAGCAAAAAAAAGAAATCTTGCCATTTGCAACAATGTGGATGGAACTAGAGGGTGTTATGCTAAGTGAAATAAGTCAATCAGAGAAAGACAATTATATGATCTCGCTGATATGTGAAATTTAAGAAACAAAACAGGATTATAGGGGAAGAGAGGAAAAAATGAAACAAGATGAAATCAGAGAGGGAGACAAACCATAAAAGACTGTTAATCTCAGGAAACAAACTGAGGGTTGCTGGAGGGGAGGGGGTAAGGGGATAGGGTAACTGGGTGATGGACATTAAGGAGGGCACATGATGTAATGAGCACTGGGTATTATATAAGACTGATAAATCACTAACCTCTACCTCTGAAATCAATAATACATTATATGTTAATTGAATTTAAATAAAAATAAATAAAAATTATAAGTCACATACAGTATGATTGTATTTGTTTCGATCTTGAAATGACAGGATTATGGCAATGGAAAACAGATCAGTGGTTTCTAGGGTTTGGGGATGGTCTGGGGAGGGAGGTGGGTGCAACTCTAAAGGAGTTGAAGGAGAAAGTAGAATGGAATAGTTCTATATCTTGATTTCAGTGGTGACTATAGGAATCTACACATATGATAAAATGTCTTAGAACTACAGACATTGTATCAGTGTTGATTTCCTGGCTATATATGCATAAGATGTGACCCCTGGGAGGAAACTGGATGAAGAGCCCAGCAGACCTCTCTAAACTATCTTCCTGTAAATCTATAATCATTTCAAAATAAAAAACAACTTATTGTATATGGGAGAGAGGAGAAGGGCCAGCCCCCTTCCCTGCCTACTAAAGGAGACCCCCAGGTATCCTTCCTCAGAGGACATGTTCATTTCAGTGTTATTTATCCAGACAAGGAGCAGAGACAACCCCTCAGAACTGTGGGGATTTAGAGGTTGAAGGTGCTTTGCAGGCATTAGCAACAACCACTGAAATGTGGGAGTCTTTAAAAATAGCATTCCCCAGGATAGTGTCTGCCTTTCTATACTTTGGATAAAGAGGGAATAATTTCTGCTGTTCTTGTTGAGATTTCTGTTGACCAAATATTAGGAACATGTAGTTTTCTAGTTGATTCTCTGCAAGGGCATCAGCACTAAGTGGGGGAAAGGACCAGGCAAGAGGAAGATCATTTGCAAATGAACTAAGGGCAGGCAGGACTTTCCATCATCCTCAGTCCCCCTCTAATGGGGGAACTCCATCATCACCTTGTCCATGAATTTGGATTCTTATCCATGACATCTAAATTCCTTTTCCTGCTTGTTTCTTATCCAGGAGGAAAGATTTATGATGCACCTTTCAAGGCTACGGCTGGGCCCCATTCTATGAACATGTATGCTACCGATGCGCTATGTTTCCAGCATCCTTGCATATACACACATGCACACACACAATGTCCAAAAAATATATTTGTGCATACACACACAAGATGTATATACAAAATATATATGTAAAAGTATGTCTGTCTAGGCCAGAGCTGTCTAATAGAAATTTCCTAGTGATGGAAATGTTCTATACATGCGCTGCCCATCACTCTCTATGGTTGGCTGTTGAGCACTTGAACTGAAGCTAGTATGGCTGAGAAACTGAATTTATAAATTTCATCTCATTCAAATGTAAATAACCACATGTAGCTCTTGGCTACCACATTGGACACCATGGGTTTAGGCATCAAACGTCTCTGGAATGATATATAACAAGCTGGTAACTATGGGTGCCTCTGCTGAAGGAGCTTAGGGCTCAGGTGCAGTGGAGTTTTACATATCATTTACACCCTTTGAATAGTTAATCACGTACTTATTTTGTCTAAATCAATGAAAAGATGAGGTCAGCAAAGTCCACCATGTATGGAGGAGACCAAGGGCTTCTTTTGGCACCTATGTAAACAGCCTAATATGGGTGCCTCTGGCTTCACCCCGACCTCAAAGCTTCAGGCTCCAAGGGAGGTGAAGCTTCAACATTAATTTCCTCCACAGGGTGGCTCCTCTGGGAAGGGAACGACGTTGAACTACAGCTCCGATGTGGACTTGGTCTTGTTCTTGAGCTGTTTCCCCAGCTTCCAAGACCAGGCAAAGCACCGCGGATTGATCATCAGCTTCATCGAGAAGAGACTGACTCAATACAGCAGGAGCCTGGCCTACAGCATCACCATGGTCCCGTGGAGAGAGACGAACAGGGTCCCCCGCTCCCTGTCCTTCCAGGTCCAGCCCAGGAAGAACAGTGACGCCGTTGGAGTGGATGTGCTCCCAGCCTATGATGCTCTGGGTAAAGACAATGATGGGTTTGGGACCAGAGAAACTAGTCAGGGGCCCTTCACCAACCCAGCCTTGGGGGAGGTTTAGGAAAGTGGAAACCAGGGAAGAAAGAGTAGAGTTCGCTTTTTTTCGGCCGGGGGGGGACTGCAACTAGAGCTGTATCTTGAAGTTAAGTCCTTCCATAAACTCATGTGCTGCCATGTCCCATGTTGGGGAGATAGGGGACTTCTGGATTCCCACCCAGCCTAAGGAGGACACTCGTCTCTGACCCTCTGGGAAACACCAGGGCAAGCAAGCACTTCAAGATCTTTGGGGTTAGCATTAGATTGGAATCATTTTAAAAACAGGGCTCTTAATGTCTTTTAATTTTGGCTTTAAGACTCACTGTGGGGGCACCTGGGTGGCTCAGTTGTTAAGAGTCTGCCTTCGGCTCAGGTCATGATCCCTGGGTTCTGGGATCGAGCCCTGCATCCGGCTCCCTGCTCAGCGGGAAGCCTGCTTCTCCATCTCCCTCTGCCCCTGCTTGTGTTCCCTCTCTCTCTGTCAAGTAAATAAAATCTTTAAAAAAAAGAAAAAAAAGACTTACTGTGATCTTGGGTAAGGTATCTAATACCTCTAAGACTCAATGTACCAACCTGTTAAACGGGATAATATCAGGTTGAACCATAGGAAATTGACAATATTTGACCATGTTTGATCCACAAAAATGGTACTCCTTATGGTTCCATGTAATTTTACCTACTTCATGGAGCTGTTCTAAGGATTTCCTGAGCTTAGCCTAGTGCCTGCCACATGGTACGTCTTTGGCCAATGCCAGTTATTTAAAATCTCTGTGACTTTTGAGGGGGCTACCAAACCCCACAAGCTTCCACCTGTTTTGATATAAAATGGGAATAGGAATGCAGTAGTGAGGACTGCCTGAGATAATTTATGAGCCCTCTACACCTAGCAGTTTTTTCCCAACTTCCTCTCCTCAGAGGGTGGATTTTCTTGAACCAGGTCCTTTTCTCTCCTAGGGCATTTTTGCCCGGACTCTAAACCATCACCAGAAATCTATGAAAACTTAATAACCAGTCAAGCCACGCCTGGAGAGTTCTCACCAAGCTTCACAGAGTTGCAGAGGCACTTTGTGAAAAGTCGACCTGTTAAGCTAAAGAACCTCCTGCGGCTGGTGAAGCACTGGTACCTGCAGGTGCGGGGCTGGGAGCCGGGCTGGTGGGAGCGGGGCTGCGGAGCTGGGAAGTGCAGGGCTGGGAGTTGCGGGGCAGGGAGGTGCAGGGACAAGAGAGAGGGCGGGCGCGTGCTAACATTTTCTTTTTAAGATTTTATTTATTTATTAGAGAGAGAGGGACAGAGAGATCATGAGCCGTGTGAGGGGCAGAGGGAGAAGCAGACTCCCTGCTGAACAGAGAGCCTGACTGGGGCTCAATCCCGGGACCCTGGGATCATGACCTGAGCCGGAGGCAGATGCTTAACCAACTGAGCCACCCAGGTGTCCCTCCTTTTATATATATATAGAGAGAGAAAGTGCCTGCTTGGGGCGGCTGGGGGCAGGGGGAATCTTAAGCAGACTCCCAGCCGAGTGAGGAGTCCAAGGCAGGGCTCTATCTCACAACCCTGAGATCATGGACCTGAGCCAAGATCGAGTCAGATGTGTAAGGGACTGAGCCACCTCAGGCGCCCCACCAATGTGATTTTCCACAGACTTCAGACCTCAGGCATTTAATATAACAGCAATGAGAAGAAAGCTACTGTTTATTGAGCATTAATTGTCTTCCATGATCTATACTGAGTGCTCTGCATATTTTTTCTCCGTCTTTCCAACAGCTCTGTAATGTAGGTATTATACATTAGCCCCATTTCGGGGATGAGAAAACTGAGGCTCAAGGGCTAAAGTTGGGCTGAGATTTGAACACAAAGGTGCCCAGCTGTGGGCTCTTAATCAACAAGGCTAGTTTTTAGAATAATAATTTATTTCATAATAATCACTTTTTCTGGTTATTTGAATATTACATTGGGCTCGTGAAAAATTCAAGTATTGACTGGCATGTGAAAAATTCAAGTAATAAAAAAAAGTATAAAAAAGAAGGTAAAATTCACATGAAATGCCTGAAATGACACCAAAAACATTTTTGGAGACTATGCCTTCATTCCTCTCTTTTTGTTCACACTGCTTATGCCCACCCTTTGCCCACCCTGTAGTCCACCCTTTGCAAAAATGCAAAGTACTATGGAAGTACTATGATTTCCAAAATGAGACCTTTGGAGTTGAACTTTGGGGAGTTAACCTGTTAACATATTTTGCATCTTTTTCCATTGGGACTTTTGTCTTATCAGTTTTAAGACCTTTTTGTAAATTATGTAGATATTTACTATTATTTCTCATGTGTTACAAATGTTTTCGCCAATAGATCACTCCTCTATGGACCTTAATTATAGTATCTCTGACAGTATAATTATTTCTAATGTTTAAAATACACAAAGCGGTGATAGCTTAGTCAGTTGAGGGGCAGCCTCCTGATTTCAGCTCAGGTCATGGGTCTTGGGTCCTGGGATCCAGCCCCCAGTCAAGCACCATGCTCAGCGGGGAGTCTGCTGGAGGATTCTCTCTCTCTCCCTCTTCCTCTGCCCCGCCCTATGCTCACTCAATCTCTCTCTCTCTGTCTGTCTAAAATGAATAAATAAATCTTTAAATAAAATAAAATACACAAAGAGGGGCAGATGGCTGGCTCAGTTGAAGGAGTGTGAGACTCTTGATCTTGGGGTCATGCGTTCAAGGCCCACATTGGGTGTAGAGATTACTTAAAAACACACACACAAATAGGTCTGACTTTTCTAGGTTGTGGGTTTTCTGTCTTGCTCACAGTGTGTAGGTGGTCTTTTAATTTTTTTCTACTATGTTTCATATATCCTTTCACTCCATTTGTAAACTATTTTGGTATTTGGTGAGACAGTAGGATCACCCTTATTTTCTTCTAGATGGTGGACAAATTGTGCCAGCATCATTTGTTGGATTATGCATTTTTTCCCATCTTCCGTCACCCTTGTCAGTCTTTGTTAAGTTTTTGTATCTACTGGGAACTAGTTCTGGGCTAGCCATTCTGTTACACTTGGCTATTGTTTATTCTGACACCAAAAACATACTGTTTTTGTGACAACTGCTTTATAAGACATATCCGAGAAAGCAAATACCAACCTCTCTATTTTTCTTTCTCACAATTTTCTTGGATTTCCTAAGCATTTATTACCGAATTTGAATCTTAAGATCATTTTTCTCCCACTAAAAAACTGGTGGGACTCAAATTGTAATTGCAATAAATTTCTAAATTAATTTTTGAAGAACTGAAAATTTCACACATTACTCTTTCTCCATCTTTCTATTTGTTCTGATTTTGTGTTATGTTTTCAGTGTGTCTGTGTGTTTTTGTTTTCTTTAATTAGATCCTATATTCACTATATTGCATTGCCTCCCCCATTCCAACTCAAAAACATAGATTGATGAGGCCCAGAAGGTCCATGAGAGGCTTCAATTTGAAATTTTGATGGCTGCAGGATGTAATCCATCTAGAGACCAAGCTGCTAGACCCATTTCAGATTTCATGGATGTGCTACATAATCCAGATATAAAATGGAGTTGACAAAGTAGTTCTTTTCTTTATTATTTTTGTTTATTTATTTTAAAGCAAGTGCTTCACCTAACAGGGGGCTTGAACTCACAATCCTGAAGTCAAGAGTCCCATGTTCTATCAATTGAGCCAGCCAGGCGTTCCCTAAATTGACAAAGTATTACTGGGATCTGGAAACAGAGAAACCTGGAAATTCTCAATTTCCAGGATAGCATCTCATATTTATTCTCTCCCCCCCCTTTCCCCCCAACCCCGCAGTACTTGAAACGTAAATATCAAAACAAAGCATTGCCCCCAAAATATGCTCTGGAGCTACTGACCATCTATGCCTGGGAAATAAGTACAGACAAAAGCGAGAATTTCAACCTGGGTGAAGGGTTTAGAGCTGTGATGGAACTCCTCATAGATTATGAAAACATCTGCATATATTGGACCAAGTACTATGATTTCCAAAATGAGACTGTCAGAATCTATCTCAAACAACAGTTGAAGGAACGCAGGTGAGTGTGTTGGGTGGCATTATTTTCAGCGGGAAGGAACAGAAAACCCAACTCATACAGTTTTTTAAACAAGGGGAATTTATTGGCTTTTGGAACTGAGAAGTCCAAGGGTAAATGAAGCTTCAGGTATGGTGTGATCCAGATGTTCGCTATTTCATCAGGGTCCCATCCTATGAAATTGCTCAGCCCTGCCCTTCCCTGGGTTTTGCCTTTGAATTCAGACTAACATGACTACATCAGTTCCAGTCTTCTTATCTGCACTCATCCCTTCCACTACAACAGGGAGAGCACCTTTGCCCTAGCCCTCTAAAGAGAATCCCCAAGATTCACTCTGATTGGGCCAACTTGGGTTACACCTCTTATCATGAACCAAGAGGTTTGGTTGCAGGAAGGCCTCCCTACACAGAGGCATGCACAGTCCCATAGACTTGAATGACAGACACCAGAGTCCTAAGTGTGATGGAGATCCACTCCCTTTCTCTCTCCCAGACCAGTTATCCTGGACCCAGCTGATCCTACCAACAACCTGGGAAGTAAAAAGGGATGGGACCTGGTGGCCAGAGAGGCTGTTCACTGCCTGAGGCAGGCCTGCTGCTGGACTGAAGACCCCAGCCAGAGCTGGCATGTACAGGTACGATCACCCCCACCCCTCAGTCATGACTCAGTGCTGACCTTACTTCAGCACACACACACACACACACACACACACACACACACACACACCGGTGAATCCCCTCAACTTCTGGCCACAGCACCTCTAAGACCCCAGGACAGGTTAACATCCCCCTCCATGGAGATGTCCCAGCCAACCAGGTGTGCAAGTCTTCCCCTTCTGCTCTAAGAATCTGGGCCTCAGTTCTTTCATCCGTAAAATGGGCAGTTTCAGCCCTGCTCTGTAACCATTAGAGAGATATAACAAAGAATTTATCACATACATACACCCTGTGGGGTAACATTTTCCCTATTATAGGTTGTTGAAAGCTCAACTTCTTGCTGTCCAAAAAAGAGATTTAAGAGGTACCTAGCTGGCTCAGTCAAAGAGCATGCGACTCTTGCTCTCGGGGTTGTGGGTTCAAGCCCTGTGTTGGGTGTAGAGATTACTAAAAAAATTTAAGAATAAGCTTTATTTAAAAAGTGAGAGAAAGAGATTTAATAGATGCATCCAGAAATAATCAGTAAGGAGCCCTGGATTCCACTGCAGACAGCAACATCACAAGTGATGTGCGGCCCCACTGTGCACAGCTTTCCCCAACATCACCACGGGAGTCCTGGGTCTGAACACTACGTAGGAATCCAGGGTTCAAAGACCAGGATGTTGCTATCAGCTCAACTAAGAGGGATCTCATTTCCCTAACCTGCTACTCGCCGAGAAATCTTGTTGCCACTCCCACATCTCATAGCCTGCAGGGAAATCCTGAGGCTTGCCTCAAAGGCAGATCTGCAGCAGCTCCAGCAAGGTGGATGACTCACGCATGGGAAGGCCCCGCCACCCAGCCCTGGCCCATTGACTGGCATGTCCAGCGGACCGGGAGGCTCCCGCGAGGCAAGATTCACTGAACAGTCTTTCAACTCTTGCTAAGAACCTTCCCCATCACCTTTTTTAATATTATTGTTTTGTGAAAAAGTAACACGCATGTTCAGCAAAGAATAAAAAATCAAACTATTGGAAAGAACACACAACTAAAGTAGGTTGCCCTCCAATCCTGATCCCCAGGCTTGTGGTACGACCTTCTCCCCAACATCCACTTATCAATGTCCTGCATCTCCTTCCGTGGATAGATATGCCACCCACACACTAGCACATTCCTGTCTAACTCGTTTGCCTTTTTACTTTTATTTACTTAAGTGAGTAGGCTATTTGGGTTACTCAATTAAATTATCAGAAAGACAATTCCATATCCACACCTATAGACCTAAAAGGGCGTGACCATATAACATAAAGTCCAAACCAGGATATTTTTGAGCATGAAATGGGGTGATGCTCCTTATGCCAGGACAAGGGACACACCTGTGGACTGCCCTAGATATCGAGTCACCCTGGATTAACAGCTATATCATGATCCAATGGAGGAAAGTACCTTCTCTTTTAGGATCACTGCCCCTCTGAAAGATTTTTAGGCTGCTTCCAGACTTTGGCTATTACATGAATATCCTTGACCATATGTCCCTGTGACTCCATCTGTTGAATGATTTAACCTAGAACAGCCCTATGATGTACCTATGGAGTAGGTGCTAACGTTATCCCCACGTGACAGATCGGGACTCATTAAAACAGTTTCACATAGGAGGAGTGGTTATTTCAAGAACTGTTGCCAGTTGTTACTCTGATCAGGGTGAGTCAGAAGGCAAGTCAGGTGAGTCAGGTGACCCAACGGTTAGCCTAGGATGACCAAATGTTCTGCTCTGCCTGGGACAGTTCCAGTTTATGCCTGTTGGCTGAGGTAATTATCGATAGCACCTTTTCCTACCCTAAGTATCTTGGTAGGCAATAGATTATATCATCACTAGGCAGAAAGGGGAGGCTTTGGAGACAACAGCCATGACCATAAGACATCCTTATCCTTCCAGCCAGCAAGGGATGTCCAGGTGACGGTGAAAAAGGCAGGAGAGGAGGCCTGGACATTCTCAGTGAACCCCTACAGTCCCATCTGGAAGATGAAAGCCAAGATCAGGAGGGCATGGGGTTTCAGCGGGCAACAGCGTCTCTCCTTCCAGGAGCCAGGAGGGGAGCGGCATCTGCTCAGCAGTCAGAAGACATTAGCATATTATGGGATCTTCTCTAAGGTGAGCGTCCGGGTGCTGGAGACTTTCCCTCCTGAGATCCAGGTCTTCGTGAAGGACTTTAGTGGTCATAGCAAGCCTTATGCCATCCACCCTGAGGACTCCATCCGTGGCTTGAAAGAGAAGATTGAGGAAGGTGGAGGACTTTACGTGGAGGATCAGGTACTAAAGTTCCAGAATCGGATACTACGGAATCACCGCAGCCTCTCAGACCTGCAAATCAAAGACTGTGACACCATCATACTCGTGAAGAGAAGCTGAGTAAGGAAAGGGTTAAGGTATAGGCAGGGAGAGATAGGGGGTCCCTGGCTAGGCTCTGAGACTATTCCTGGCAGGCAGAAGCACTAAGACAGAGTGAACAAGAGATAAGGGAACAGACCACCTGGCCTGGGATGGTCGGCAGTATTTTTCTTTGGCGGCTACAGTATCACAGAAAATGACCAAACCTCAAAGAAGTCAGTCATTAAGGGTGTTATCAATAGTCCATGCTCAAACCAAGATGGCACAAGAAACTCAAGGTCATAAGTTTCCCAGTCCTCAATAAAAAACCAGCCTACAAGCCCTCAGTGGCAACCCCATCGGGACCCCTCCCACTCCCGAGAGCTTTTCCTGTACCCTTGCTTAATAAAACTCTATCACTTTACTCACCCTGCTTTGTCCGCGAGATTCATTCTTCGACTCCGTGAGACAAGAACCTAGCTCTCCTGTTTCAAAGCCACAGGTCCCCAGGAGTGCCCATGGTCAGGCTGCACATGATGTAGACTTCTATGGCTCTGTTCCCCCACCCAGACCGCTGTGATTTTCGGAAGCATAAATATGAATGTACCCTTCCCTGCATGAAGTCCTCCAATGGCTCCTATTACCTGTAGAATAAAGTTCAAGTTCTTTTGCTTGGCATTCAAGGTCTTTGACAACTGAGCCCTTGCTTACTTCTCAATCTCTCCCCATCACTCTCAAAACACATCAGATGTGCCCAAACTCTTGCAGCCCCAGAGCACTGAATGCCGGATCGTGACACTGTGACCTACTCAACTATCCCTTTCCCTCGTGTTTCCATCTGTCAACACTCAAAGCTCTAAGTCATTATTCTCCAAGTATGGACCCCAGACCAGCAGAATCAGCCCATCACCTGGGAACGTCTTAGAAATGAAAATTCTCAACAACTATCCCAGATTTACCTGAGTCAGGTTCTCTGGTGGTGGGGCTCAGCAATCTGTGTCTTAACAAGCCTTCCAAGTAATTCTGGTGCATGCTCAAGTTTGAGAACCATTGCGAGAAGCCCCATACAGCCAACTGCATCATTTCCTGCCCCTACACCCAATTCAAACTTCCGTGAAAGCACTTGGGACCCTCACTGTGTTCCTTTGTTGGATTATCGGTCTCCCTGGTCTAATGAGACTTGACAAGTGCCTTCTTCCTTTGTCCCCGTGGTCTAGAATGCTACCTGCCTCGTGCACATGTTCAGCACATGCTTGCTGAAGAAATGAATGAACCAAAGAATGACTTTGAATTCTTCCCTGTTGTCTTTGTGAGGGTCTCGGTCCAATGCTATTTTGGAGACCACATGGTTTCGGATGACCCCGGCTATGTCTCATTCTTTGATTGCCCACACTCACTCATATACACCCCATGCTGTAGTGGGTACAGCAGGCTATGCTCCAACCCAAAAGCTTCACTCATCTATCCAAACCGAATTGGACCAAGAGCGATCAGCTGACCAAGCGTAGACTCCATCTATTGGTTTTACTTAGCCTATTAGATTTTGAGCCCTGGGGGGTGGGACCAAGTACAGCAGTTCCTGGTGTAGTTAAATGAGGGTGAATGTCTAAGCGGAAATGCGGTCGGAAGAGAGCAGCCCAAGCTCAAGTCTACATATGAGTAAAAAGACCTCCCGCCGCACAGAGAATGGAGCCACGCAAAGCAAGAGAGAATCAGAAGCGCTCACACAGCCCCAGGGAGAGACGCTGCAAGGTGCTGTTACACCTGCTTGCTTTTTAAAAAATCAAATTCCCCTATATCCTTTCATCAACCTAAATTGAATGAACACCTACTCATTGAGTGAATGTGAGTAGGTGGGGTATTTTTTTTTTTTGCCCCAAAAGCCTTGACTAAGATCTGCTTCTGCAACTCAATAAAATTATTTTTTTTCTATTCCTCAGTAAATTAATAATTCCGTGCATCTGCATGGCATTGACACCAAGAGTCTCTATCCACACGATGTCATTGGATGCCTATCCTCACAGCTGCCCAGAAACTTAGGTGGAAGAGTAGGAATGACGCCCTCTCTCCCTTTTTACAGATGAGAATACTGAGGCTTAGAGGTATTCTACACTGTGCCCTTCCCAGTCTTTCCTTCCTGTCTCACTTAAGGACAATTCCATCCTTGCGGTTGTCAAGACCAAAGCCTCGGAGTGGTCCTTGAGTCCAGTCTTGGCCTCACATCATATTCTATCCATTAGCAAGACCTGTTTATATTCAAAATAGAAGCAATGAAATGATGTGATGTCTAGGATTCATGCTTAAATAACACGGGAGAGGAGATGTGGATGTGAGTATAATTGAAAGATTGTCTGCAGTTTTGTTGCAGGATTGCTGGGTTCTTGTCTCACCGAGTTGAAGAATGAATCTCACGGACACAAAAGGTTGAAGTGAAGTGAAAGTTTATTAAGTGAAGGTGAGGGCAGGAACGGAAAGAAAAAGTTCTCAGGAGTGAGAGGGGTCCCACACCGGTTGCCACTGAGGGTTTTTAGGGCTGGTCTTTTATTGAAAACTTGACCAGGAAGCTTGTGGCCTTGAGATTCTTGGGCCGTCTTGGGTTGAGCAAGGACTATTGATAACACCCTTCATGACTTATTTCTTTGAGATCTGGTCATTTTCTGTGATTACACTGTAGCAGCCAAAGAAACTTACTCGCTAACATCTGGGGCCAGGTGGTCTGCTCTGTTCCCTTATCTCTGGTTCACCTTGTCTTAGAGCGTCTGCCTGCCAGGAATAGTCTCAGAGCCTAGTCAGGGACTCCCTGTCTCTCCCTACCTAGACCTTAACCACTTCCTTACTACTGCTATGAGACATAGCAGGGGTCATCCGAAACCATGTGGTCTCCAAAATAGCATTGGACCAAGACCCTCACAAAGACAACAGGGAAGAATTCAAAGTCATTCTTTGGTTCATTCATTTCTTCAGCAAGCGTGTGCTGAACATGTGCACGAGGCAGGTAGCATTCTAGACCACGGAGACAAAGGAAGAAGGCACTTGTCAAGAAGGCACTTACTCAGTTTGATAATTGTGGAGGCTGTGTGATGGTCCACAGAGGTTCCTTTTATTATTCCACTTTTGTTATGTTTGAAATTTTCCATAATAAAAAAATTAAATCATACAACTTCTCCCTACCTGCACCACTACCATCCTGATCCAAGTTGCCAGATCTCCTGTTGGGACTTTTTTTTTTTTTTTTAAGATTTTGTTTATTTATTTGAGAGAAAGAGAGCAGGAGGAGGGGGCGGGGGAGGGGCAGAGGGCAAGGGAGAAGCAGGGTCCCCACTGAACAGGGTGCCTGACATGGGACTCGAGCCCAGGACTCCGAGATCATGACCTGAGCTGAAGGCAGATGCTTAACCAACTGAGCCACGCAGGTGCCCCCTGTTGGGACTGTTGCAGTAGCTTCTTAACTGAGCTCCTGCTCCCCTCTTACCTCCACCGCCAACCTCTGCTTTTAATCTAAACTCCCCCCCGCCCCCGCCACCCCACAGCCAGTGTGATCTCATTAAAATGAAAGTCAGGCCATTTCACTCCTCTGCTTGAAACTCTCCAATGGCTCCCCATTTCATTCAGAGTAAAAGTCAGTCTTAATTAAGGGTCTTCAAGATCCTACACTATTTGCCCCCAACCTTTTACCATTTAAACCTCATCTCCTCACACTCTTTCCCTTTGGTCATCCCATTCCAGCCATGCTGTTATTCCTCAAACCCACCAGGCAACCCTGACGCCACAGGACCTTTGCACTTGCTGCTCCTTCTGCCATGAATTATCGTCTTCCCTCTGGCATACACAAGGCTCACTTTGCCTCCTTCATGTCTTTGCTCAAATATCTCCTTTTCAGGCCTTTCTAACCACCTTATTTGAGACTGAACATCTAAATAATCCTACACACGTGCGCACACGCGCACACACATACACACCGTATATCTTAACCTCTTGCCCTACTTTATTTTTTCTGCTTAGCACTTCTCACCATCTTATTTACTACAATTTGACTTATCCTGTTTATGGTCTGTCTCCACCATCAGAATGTAAGGCCTCTGCAGGCAGGGATTTTTGTCTATTTGCTGCTGTATCCCCAGCACCTGGCTGGCACATAGTAGCTACTCAATAAATACTTGTTGAATGAATGAATGATGGCACTCTAATATTCAACCCCTGCCCACCTGTCCAGGCACATCTCTCACCTCTCTCCTCCTTACCTTCTGTGCCAATGCATATTTGACAACGGAATCCCTGGGCACACACCAAGATCGTTCAAACTTCTACTCTGCCTGTGGTCTGCCCTCCTCTTCCTCCTGCCCAGATCCCCAGTCTTTTAAGGCTCACACTGGACTCTCAGAGTCTCTTGTCTGTCTCCTCTACTGTTCTGAGAGACCCTTGGGATAGGAACCACGTCTAATTTTGTCTTTTTAACACATTGGCGCCTAGCAGGTGCTCAATAGGTATTTAATGAATGAATAATAGTATTTGCATTTTATTGAGGGCTTTCTGTGCTCAGTGTTCTCATGCTTAATCTGGACAAGAACCTATGGGGTAGGGTATCATTACTAACCCCATTTTTATGGATAAATTATGGGAGGGTCAGAGAAGTTAAGAGTGTGGCAAGGGACAGACTGGAATTGAAAGTCTGTTCTAGGGATGCCTGGGTGGCTCAGTCGGTTAAGCGCCCGCCTTCGGCTCAGGTCATGATCCCAGGGTCCTGGAATCGAGTCCCACATCGGGCTCCTTGCTGAGCAAGGAGCCTGCTTCTCCCTCTGCCTGCCTCTGTCTCTCTCTCTCTGATAAATAAATAAAATCTTTAAAAAAAAAAAAAAGAAATTCTGTTCTACGGGACTCTGGACTCTTGGCTTCCCTCTTCTCAACCTTACTGACCGTGGGCAAGTCCCCGTCTTTCTGAGCCTCAGTTTCATATGACAAAGTGGGGTGACTGGTTTGATGAATACCATCCCACTCTGACCTACTGGGAGCGTTGCCTCCTCTAGGGCCAAACTCAAGCCAATTTCAGTTTCCAGACGTCATCAAAGGAAAACTAAAGCTGAGAATCGAAACTGATAGCAAAAAGATTAAGCAGGGAGCCAAGCTTGTTAAGGTGGCTCCAGAACTCCCAGCTGGACTCAGTGTCCCTCAGTGCCCCTGCCGCAGCAAAGGGTCTCCAAGAAGAGGAACCCAGGTCAGCCCAGTTGCTTCCTGGTTTCCTCTTCACTCTGGCCCCTTTGCCCCCCAGGGTGCTGGCAGTCAGCTGAGGAGGAGCCCCCTTAAAGAAGTGGGCGCGCAGGGAGCTGGGTAGGTGCCTGGCTATATATCTGTGCCGCAGTGGTCCTCTGGCTCAGAGACGGCTTTGACCATGGAGCTGTATGACACCCCTGCCTCCAGGCTGGACTCCTTCGTGGCTGAGTGGCTGCAGCCCCACCGGGAGCAGAAAGAAGAGGTTCTGGAGGCTGTGTGGACCGTGCAAAAATTCCTGAGGGAAGAGAACTTTGAGGGGGATTATGGACTGGAC